TCAAGGAGGTTTCAGGGAAAATTTATAATTACTACATTACTTTATAATAATTATTTTTTACATTTATTCTCGCTTCTCCCATCAAAATGTAAAAAAAAAAACAAATCAACAGCAATATTTCTTCTCACGAACGAAGAAAAATCAGGCTGTAAAGAGTTAAATCCTACATACGAGCCACTCGGAAGCGAAAACGATCAACTCCACTTTTCGACATTCTCCAAATTTCAGTATCAAAGCACATGCTGGGTGCTTAAATCTTCATAAATAAAAAAAATTTAGTATAGCTTAATGGAGTCACTCATTTTGGCTTCTGAGTTCGTCTCCAATTTTTCGAACTAGACAGACGACAAGAATTCTCTCGTTATCACGCCGTAATTACACAGCCGCAGCGAAGTACAACGTTGCACCTTGCATAATCACCCGGGTATCGCAACCAATTAAGACTTTCCCGGAACATCCATAATTACTCGGAACTCTCTGACAGCGCTAACTTCTTTAATTACATTTTCCCCGCTACTATAATTCGTACGTTCGACCCTTCTATCACGGTTCGAGGCGTTCTACACCGTCGTTTGGAGGGGACGCGGAATCGTGGAGAAAAGGGGATACCGTCCGACAGTTATGATCCTGCACGGCAGAAATCGTTGCTTTCTCCCTTGGCCTAGCGGTGTATCGCGCGAGAAATTACACAAACGAGAGAGGACGCGGCGGATTGAGCGCGCGCACGGACGCGCAAGGATCGCGCATAATTGGGCGACGAGAGGCGATCCGGCGCGGCGGAACCACTTCGTCATCGTCGTCCCGCGAGAAAATTGCATCTCGCCTTGTCGCTGTCATGTTCGTTGAAACGCGACACGACGTTTACTGTCGCAACAACCACCACCACGCGTGCCTCGGATCGCGAGACGTCGGGCTTTTCTTGCCACGCACACGCCATTTTGCTTCTCGCCCGCTCCAAGATACTCTCTTACCACGGAGACGTGCAAGAACGAGCTGAACAAAGAGGCCGGACGATTAAAACTGTCTCACTGGGTGATTGAAATGCTACCCCGAAGCGAGAAACGAGTAGAGTGATTGTTTATTAACAGTCGAAGCCAGGACCGCGTGTAGAACTGTTCGGGCCTTGGGCGTGCAAATGAAAAATGAAAAGAATGAAAGTGATGCTTGTTTTCAAAAAAAAAAAAAAGAAGAGACAATTTTTGAAGCTGCGGTAATTTCTATTGCCATAGTTTGAGATTGCACAAAGTGCTATCGAGTAGGTTTCCTCTTGCACCAAAGTATCACGAACGATACCGTGGGGTTTTTGGTATGAAAGAGCGAATGCGGGGAGAGATGGGGAAATGGAGAGAGTTGGTGTGAATGGCCTGGAAAGGAAGAACGAATGAAAGACCATCGTGCGTGGCGCGTTTGTTTATGTTTAGACAATAACATGGGTTGTCAAGCTGATCGCGGCGTGTGTGAGTGTGTGTGTGGATGCGTGCGTTCGAGAAAAAAGAAGAAGAGTATAGAGGTGTGTGTGATTGACCAGCGAACGAGAAGCATCGAACCGTGAACATTAAGAGAGCGAATTACATTTTCTTGTGACAAATAAATATAATATTAGCGAACAGCATCGGCGACGCGTGGGGTCCTTTACTTTTTATCGAATAAATAGTAATCAACAAGATCCCACAATACCGTTCCAATATGGCGTTGCAATGAAAGTATTATTATTGTCGCAAACTTTTTAACCCTTCGACAGTTTATCCCGCGTGAGACTCGGGCAGAGCGTCAAATATCCAACTGTTTAACTCAAGAGAGACTCTTAGGAAGAAAGTTAGAAAGGGACGAGATATTATTGTCACGGCTATGACGTAGGATTGATGATCACACACGGCGTAACTATTTAACCCTCATCCGTCCCTCGTGTCAATTTGACACACTTTTCCGGTGAAAAATTGTATTCGGCTATTTGTAGAAAAAATTTTTTTCTTTATTTTCTATATTTAATAATTGATTTTTTACCATTGTGTCAGATTGACACCGAGGGACCTATTAAGATGCGAAACTGAGGGACGGATGAGGGTTAAAAGATACGTGTAAAATCGAAATTTTTTTTTACCGTAATTCGTAATTCTATTGGACTGTCAAAGGTTCAGTTACGTTTAGAGTTCTCCAAGCCAGCGAATTTGACAATGACAAACACTTCTATTCAGGCCCTAGGCACGTGCCTGTTTTGCCCGATGGTAAACGCGGCCCTGGTTAGAGCCGCTACCAATGCAGCTTGAACGACTGGTTCATATCTTTGGTAAAAAGGTATAACCCAGATAGCACATAGACGTCTTGAGAACGTCTTAACCCTTTCGTGACCGAGTTATCTTTTTTCTGAATTTCTTATTTATCCGTCGATCATCGCGTCTACTAAATGTAATTGATACTAAATTCAGAGCAATTTTTGTTCGACCACTCAAGTGGGACATATGTGTAACGAAAGGGTTAAAGGCGTCAAGTGAAAGCCAATCTAATAAATTGTTAGAACGTATCGATTCGTACGTCTTCAAGACGTCCATAGATCGTGTCGTGAGACGTTCACACCGAAAGTGGACGTAAAATGGACATTTCTGAGACGTTGCGTGCTACATATCTGGAAATGGTGGACTCGTTGAAACTTTGCGAGAATGTGAACGAACATTTTTCCTCGTATTTCGCGTACGGTGCAAGTGGATGTGGATGTAGAAATTGACATTGTTATTGTCGATTTTATCGTCCAAGTCCAATATTGTTACTTTTAAATTCGAATTCTTAAATTATTTTTAAGTTCGACGATTTAATTATTATTTCTAAGTTCGGTAAATTAATTATTAGTTTTAAATTACCTTTTTATATCGGATAGGAAATGCAATCTCTATAGAGCGAATTATAGGTATATACCTGGATTCGAGGTAAAGTACGCTAATCGTTTAAAGTAACGAGGAAACGATGTTCCGTGACGATGTTGTAGAAAATGAATTTGTAGAAGTCGTGGAAGTCCGTGGAAAGTGGCACTCTGATGCACAGGGTGGGAAATTGTTCGGACTTGAAACGATTGCCTTGATTTACGTCAACATCGTCTGCAGAAAAGTGGGTCAAACAAAAGTTGCACGGTTTTAAAGAGTATATAAGATGGATCGAATGAAATTTATCTTATAAATGAGTAAAACACTTTTTCCAGAATTGAAGGCCAATGTAATTTTCAGTAGGTTAAACG